GCTTAATATAAGTATGTTTTTAAAGTCCTAACTCCTTTCAGTCACTTCAGCCCTCCTCTCCTTGCTGTTAGGTGCTTTCTAGTCAATTCCAACCCGTAGCGACCCTGTATAGGGTCTCCAAGGAGCGGCTGGCAGGCATGAACCACCGACCCTGCAGCTCAAAAGGCCCTGCAGTGCGTCACCTCAGCCCACAGTGCTGTGCTGGACTCCTCTCAAACCAGTGAAAACAAAAAAGCAGACCACATACAACACGCATCCACGTCTCCCACACAGGGCCTCCAAGGAGCGGCCCGTGAGCTTGAACCAACGACCCTGCAGACCAAAAGGCCCTGCAGTGGCACTCCAATCCCCAGCGCTACAATGGGACGCCTCTCAAACCAGTGAATGTAAGCCAACCAAATAAGACACACACCCATGTCTGCTGTATAAGGTTTCCGATGAGTGGCTGGTGAGCATGAACCACTGGTTTTGTGCCACCGGCCTTGTCGTTCAAAAGAATTTGCAGTACAGCATCTCAACCCATAGCTCTACGCTGGGCTTCCTCTGAAACCAGTGAAGAAAGACAGACCAAATCCGCGCCTCAGCCTGGCCTGGGTGCGTAAGCTCCTGGCAGAGGAAAGCACCAGCAGTGGGGGCGGGTCCCAGCCACACGGCTAAGCCCCCACCTCCACTCACCCAGATGTATGTGGGCAAACCGTGAGCGCACCCACTCCCAACACCAAAGAAAAAAAAACAAGATCGGAACCACCCAAAATCAGCAAAGCACACTGTGTACCTTTTTTTTTCCCCCCCTAAATGTTCCTGCGGAGCATTTCTGCGGTGTCTCTGCAGCCCCTATTTCGTCCAGCCACTCTGTCTAGCCCAGGATGTGCGCCCAGGCCTCCGAGCCTGGCCGGCGGACTCAAGGGTACGAGACCTCCCGCCTCCGCTCCAAATTCCACAGGCTACAAGCCTCCAAACCTCCAAACCAATCCTATCTCTGTGGGTCCGAATCCCGGAGCTCTGTCTTGCCTCCTTTCTGCCTGGAATTCCAAGCCACTTTTGACGGAGACCTTCACTATGCCTTCACCCTAGCCACCAGCAAGCCCTGCCCTCCCTGCTTCTTCAGTTAGTCTGTAATGTTCTTACTCTGTTTTAGGCCCCTCTGAGTTTTGCTACTTGTTGAAATGCTGTGGGGTGGATTATCAAATGTTGTCTTTTTTAAATTTATTTTCATGAGAAATAGATTATCCTTGTTTTCTTTTATAAGAAAGTAGGATACTTTCTTTTTGTCATTTTCTAAGTTTTTGGTAGTTTTTTCCAATTCTTCATCATTTCTCTACAAATGAATCCTCCAGGATACACTTTTGCTTATAGAGCAGTTATGTGCACATATTAGTTTACTTAATCTTCTTTTCACTGGTTTCTCTCTAATTGCTGATTTTTTTTATAGACTTTACTAAAACCAATTTCAGCCTCAAAGCTCTGATCTTGCAGGAGCATGCATCTAAATTTTGTTTCTATATCTAATGAAGGGTTGTTTCCATTATCTATTGGTGTGTAACAAACTCAATGGTGTAAAACATTTGTTTTATAATTTCTCACAATTCTAGCAGTTGACTGGGGCTGAGCAGGATGTTTTTTCTGTTGGTCTTAACCAAGGTCTCTCCTGCAGCTATCGTCAATGATGTTTGGGACTGGAGTGTCCACAATGACTTCATTATGGCCCGTTGGTTGAAAGGCTGAGCCCAACTGGGACAGTGAGCCTCTCCTCCATGTGGCCTGCTCACCTTGTCTTTCCAGCAAAATAGTCCAACTCCTTACATGGCAGATCAGAGCCTCCAAAAGGGCAGATGTGGAAACTACCAGACCTTCTTAAGGCTAAGTCTCAGAGGAATTTCTGCCACATTCTGTTGGTTAAAGTGAGTCACGGGGTCAGCTCAGGTCCAGTGTGAGAGGGAATATACAAGAGTGTGAATTACCAGAAGGCATGATTCATTGGAGTCCATTAACGGAAACTAGCTACCACAGGGATTATGTTTTCCTTTTACTCCACTAAGACATCACTTCTCTACTCCTTTTTTAGTTACCTGTGTCTCTGGTGGCTTACTTAAACCTACAAATGTTACCTTCTCATCCATAAACATGAAGAATGTCCTACAATGGAATCCACCGGAAGGCCTAACAGGATTTGCCGTTAGCTATACTGTGCAGTACTTCATGTAAGTTAAGTTGGTTCTTTTCCCTTTGTCTAATTTATAAACACAAGACTTAGATACCTGTTGGGTTTAAATATGTGTTTGGTTTTTAGAAAAAGAAAGAAAAGTTTTACATAGTCCATGTTAAATTTTCATATCATGTGAGATTGTTAGGAAAAGCATTTCTTTGCGGAGAAAAAAGTACTGAACACTCAGACAAGAACTTATTTAAGTAGAGAAAAGTCCATAAAAACATGCCATGGATAAGCAAACAAGCTCACTCATCATCGCTAAAACTTCTAAACTCACTGGAATTTCAGACATCCTTTGACTCAGTGAAAGAATGCAGAATTCTATGCAGCACATTCTTCCTTTTAAAGGTAACAGTGAATGGCAATTTTCACTCATCACCTTTCTCTCAAAACTCACTGCAAGCAAGAGAGAACGCAAAGCAGATAAACAGTGTCCATCTTCAAAGAAACAAAGGAAATGGCCACCCCGCTAAACCCTGACTGTAAGCATATATTCCAGATCTTGTGGGATCTGTAGGAAACCCACCACAGAAGATCAACACGAATATATGCCTCCTAGAGCTTCAACAGTAGAAATAAGACACCAGTAGGAGTGAGTAGACACTTCACAAGTAAGTAAGGGAGGACACACATACCCAACAGACTAAGGATGTGGAAATTGTGGGATTGTCTGCCACCAGAAATTTAAAAACTGTCCCCATGGAGTACCACAGAATGTCAGAGAAAGAGGAGCTAAAAGAGAAAGCAGGATTCAGTGACGTATCCATTGTAGGTGCACAGGCACAGCCCAGGGAGAAGGCTCCAGTGAGATGGGAGAAGGAAGGAAAGTGTGTGACCGTGACAAGGAGGCAGCCTGAAAGCTGATGGATGTGTTGTGAGCCACACCAGCCTCCTGCAGCCCCCAAACCCTAAGGCAGGCAAGCTTCCAGCAAAGGGAGTAGTGGTAGTCAGTGAGAAGGTGTTAACAAATGAAAAGTGTGGCGATCAAGTGCTCAGTACTTCAACACTACTCCTATACCCAAGGAGCTCTAGGAACACAGTGGTTACAAGTCAGGCTGCTAGTCTCACTGACAGCAATTGAAACTACTGTGAGAGAAAGATGAGTCTTTCTGCTCCCGCACAGATTTACAGCCTAGGACACCCTACACAGAGTTGTTATGAGTTGGAACCAACTCCACAGCAGACAATCACCACCAACAACACTCCTTTACCCATTCATCTACTATTCAACAGACGGCTGGCCTCATTCAAAGAATAGTAATCCCAAAGAAGCCAGCCCAGCATTTATCTATAACTGCTGAAAGGGAAAAAATAGTAAAAAGCACTAGCAAAAGTTCCTGAAAAACTAGCCCATGGAAATAGAGAAAAATTTAGGCACATAGTTTTTCATAGTTTTAGAGTCTATAAACATTATCTCTCTAAAGGTCAGGCTCAAAGATAGCTTCTGGGATGACAGGAAGAACAGAGCTTGGGAAAAATATGCCCTACAGATGAAAAATCTATTATAAGCCTCCAAAAAATAGAGTAAACATGACTGAAAATACAACTAGAGATGTGGTAGACAGAATAGGGAAAAAACAAAACTAACAATTATCCCAAAAAATAATTCTATAAGAGGAGAAAAGAAATAGAGTGGGGGGAAGACAGTTTAAAATACAATAGAAGAAACTCTTCTGTGATGATAATAATAGCTTGTATTTTTTGCATGCCTGCTATATGCTGGACATGGTTTTACAAACTTTACACAGATTACTTCAATCCTCACAGTAACCCTATAGGATAATTACTATTATTAACCCTAATTTACTCTGAGAATATATTGCAGCCTTTACCCAAGTTCATACACTTGATAATATCAAGCAGTTAATGAGAATATCTGAAACTACATCCATACATGCATGCTTTGCCTAGAAATTTTTAATTAAAACAGTATAAAGACATATCCTGGTAAAGTTATTGAATTTAAGGAAATGAAATAATTTTATGGTTATTTTAGCAAAAGAAGAATATAAGAGAGGGTGATTTCTGTCTAACAACATTCAGTAGTAGAAGACAGTGATATTGTAGCTTCTGAGGGGAAAACTAATGTAATCTTAGATCCATCAAATTCAAGAGACATGCATTTTCAAGCAGGTGCTCGGGGCTTCTCACTCTCCTGACACTTTTCAGGGTAGGGTACTGATGAAAATCAATATCCAGCTGTCAGCGCTGAGGATGATCCTGACTTAAAGATGTTAGTAAGTACAAGGTTGTGGCAGAATGACTGGTAAAATACACTGCCATTGTTTGCTGCCTCTCATTGAGTTGCTGCCAACCCTATGTACAGAACAAAACACTGCCCAGTGTTGCACCATCCATATGAACTTTGTTTTGAGTCCATTGTTGCAGCCACTGGGTCCATCCATATCCTGAGGGGTCTTCTTTTTTGCTGACCTCTAGCTCTGGTAGAGCAGTGGTTACGAATCGGGCTGCGAACCACAAGGTCATTAGTTTGAAACTACCAGCTGTTCCGTGGGAGAAAGATGAAGCTTTCTGCTCCCATGAAGATTTACCACCTCGGAAACCCTGTACAGGGTCACTATGGATCGGAACCAACTCCACGGCACATAACCACAACCACCACCACTACCAAGTATGAAGAATCCTAGTGTGGTGTTGTAGTACAAACATTGGACTACTAACCACAAAGTCAGTGGTTCAAACCCACCAGTCACTCCTCAGATACCCTCTATAGTGTTGCTATGTGTCAGAACCGACTCATTGACACTTAACTACAACCAAGCTTGATGTCCTTCTCCAGGGACTGGTCACTCCTGATAGCATACCCAAAATACCTGAGACGAAGTCTCCCCATCCTTTCTTCTTAGAAGTATCCTGGTTTTACTTCTTCCAAGATAAATCTTTTCATTCTTATGGCTCCATGGTATATTTAATATTCTTCACCCATACCATAATTCAACGCATTATTCTTTGGTCTTCTTTACTCATTGTCCAGCTTTTACATATGTTAAGGAGATTGAAAATACCATGATTTAAGTCAGGTGCACTTTAGTCTTCAAAGTGACATCTTTGCTTTTTAACTCTTTAAAGATACCTTTTGCAGCAGATTTGCTGAGTGTAATATGTTTTTAACTTCTTCAGTCTTCTTCCATGGGCATTGATGATGGCTCCAAATAAAATGAAATCCTTGAGAGCTTCTATCTTTTCTTTCTTTATCATGATCTTGCTTATTGTCCAGTTGTGAGAATTTTTGTTTTCGTTATGTTGAGGTGTAAGCTATACTGACAGCTATACTCTTTGATTCTCTTTGATTTCACTTTCAGAAAACAATGTTTTGTCATCTGCATATTGCAGTTTGTAGGTTGCTAATGAGTCTTCCTCCAACCCTGATGTGGCATTCTTCATATAGTCTAACTTCTCAGATTACTTGCACAGCATATAAATTGAATAACTGTGATGGAAGGAAACAACTCTGATGAACACCTTTCCTGACTTTAGACCACACAGTACCTCCTTGTTCTGTTCAAATGACTTCCTCTTGGTTTATGTACATATTCCCCATGAACACAAGTATTCTGGAATTCCCATTCTTTGTAATGTTTCCATAATTTATTAAAATAAACACAGTTAAATGGTTGGCATAGTCAACAAGACACAGGTAAACATCTTGCTGGTATTCTCTGCTTTCAGCCAGCATCCATCTAACATCAGCAGTGATGTCCTCATTCCAGGTCCTCTACTGAATCCAAGTTAATGCTGCAACCATTTTTAAATTGTCTTCAGCAAAAATTTACTTGTATGTGTTATTAATGATATTGCTAGATAATTTCTGCATTCTTTTGGATCACATTTCTTCAGACTAGGCACAAATATGGATCTCTTCCAGTTGTGTTGCAAGTAGCTGTTTTCCAAATGTATTGGTATAGATTAATGAATGTGCCCAGCATTGCATCCATTTGTTGAAAGAATTTAATTGGCATCCCATCAATTCCTGGAGCCTTGTGTTCCACCAACACCTTCAGTCCAGTTTAAACTTCTTCCTCCAATACCACCATTCTTTATCATATGCTACTCCTGAAATGTTTAAACATTGACCAGTTATTTTCATTACAGTAACTCAATATATTCCTTCCATCTTTTTTTGCTGCTTCTTCTGTTATTTAGTATTCTGTCCATAGAAACATTTAGTATTGCGCCTCAAGGCTTAAATTTCTTTAGTTCTTTCAACCTGAGAAATGCTGAACATGTTCTTCCCATTTGACTGTCTAACTCCAGTTCTTTGCACATTTAATTATAGCACTTTGCTTTGTCTTCTCAAACTGCCCTTTGAAATCTTATATTAAGTTTTTGGGGTTTTTTTACTTCGTTATTTCTTCCATTTACTTTAGCTATTCTATGTTCAAGAGCAAGTTTCAGAGTCTTCTCTGATATACATTTTAGTCTTTTTGTTTGTTTCTTTTCTTTTCTGTCTTTTAAATGACATTTTAGTTACTTCATGTATGCTATTCTTAATGTCATCCCACAACTCATCTTGTCTTCCGTTATTAGTGTTTAATGTGTATCACATCTTGAGAAGATTTCTAAATTAAGGTGTTATATAAGCACTAAACTGCTAACCACAGAGTTAATGGTTCAAACTCACCAGCTGCACCTCAGAAACCCTACTTAAACAAGGTTGCTATGATTCAGAACCAACTCGATGGCACTTAACAACAATTTGATCCAGGTTGTAATTTGCCTGGCCTGTCATTTTCTTTGGCTTTAACTTGAACTTGCATATGAGCATTGGATGGTCTCTTCCACAGTTGGCCTCTGACCTTGGTCTGACTGAGCTTCCATCATCTGTTTCCACAGACGTAGGTGATTCATTCCTGTGTACTTCATCCAATGGTGTCCACATTTATGTTGTTGAAATTAAAGGTATTTTCAATGAATGAATCATTTGTCTTTCAAAATTCAATGATGTAATCTCTAGGACAATTACTGTCACCA